ATCTACTTCTGACTGGTATATACAGTGGGTACGGAAAGTATTCAGACCCCCTTCAATTATGTATATATATATGCACATATCATAGGTTGCTGTACATGGCTGCTTTTTAATGCAAGGATATTATAATACAAGGTACAGATATAATAATTAATAAATATAAATTAAATCATGAATCTGAAGAATAAACACTAGGTAAAAATAATATCCTATAAATAATAGCTATCCTTACATTAAATAATATTATTGATAATAATAAATATAGCTGCAAGCAGCGATATGGGGCCAAGACCCTGAAGGGGCTGTAGCGCAGTACAGAGCAGGAAAAACAAAAACAGTGGAAATAGAATGTACGTAAAAAAGTTCAGATGAGAATGAACAAAAACACATGATTATGAAACACATGAAAACACTGATTGGAGATGAACACACATGGAAGATCCAACATCTGGAACAGAAGCAACTTTCGCACCATTACTGGCCACAGTACAGGTGCATCTCAATAAATTAGAATGTCGTGGAAAAGTTCTATGACTTAGCATGCTAACCAGATTAGCATGCTAAGCTAACTTAATGCTAACGTAGCTTATGGTTAACCTGATAGCTGAAGAGCTACATTAGAAAGAATGCTATGCCATGCTATGCTAACTGGCATAAGTCAACAAACACAGGCACAGTCTATTTTGGAGAGGTATTTCTTGGGAATGGTAGCAAATCTCAAAAATCTGGTCAGTCATTTCTGTGCGGCTCAGTTGAAAAATCATCTGATCCGTTTTTGGACAAAGTTGGACAAAATTTGAAAATTTTGAAAATTTGGAGTAGCGAAAAAACTGTTTTTCATTTACTTCAGTATGACAGACAGGCACATTAATGGAAAATTACAAATGAGATATCGTCAGCATTGGCATAACCCAGGGAACGAAAGAATACAAAAATAACAGAATTTGGACAATGTTTTCAAAAGTGATCCCTACTGATTTTTGTGCAGATACTTTAAAGGTTCAAAAGATATTGCAATTTATGACAAATTTTAAAATGGTGGACAGGCGCTTGGTCAAAATCGACATCCACAGTTTCGGCATGACCCAAGGAATCCATAGACACCAAGATCATGATTTTGTAACAAACTGTTCAAAATTGACTAGAGCATATGATATTGTATATTTCTAAATGGCAGGACATTTAGATTTCTTCAAAAACAATGAAGTAAACTTAACAAACTGAATATAGGCATAATGAGTAGCAAATAAAGGTAAAAAAAGGGTAATAAATAAGCCAATAAATGTAGGTCTACCACAGTATTACAATAGGTAGTAAACTTCTTATACATGAATGAAACTGTTCTTCTCAACAAAAATGTGTAAAACCAGTTTGTTCCACAAAAAATGTGGGGAACAAAATCTGTAGTCCTGAAGTTACTGGCAATATTTTCATGTACTGCATGTGGGTCAGATGACTGATTAAAACAGCTCAGGAAATGTCAATAAAAAAAAAATGAAGGAAGTTGGCAGAATTCCCCAACACCAATATCAGTTCCTCACTGATGTCTCTCTCCTCTTTCCTTCTAGAATAGTACAGCAGTTTCTCGCAGGCCTTTTTGCCAATTCAGGAGTACCAGGCTCTCCTCCACTGTCATGGTAAAGACTTTCCCTCAGTATTTTGCAGCTATGTAGTTTGGGCAGTCAGTATATATAGATAGATAAATGTATTTATATGTTTGGTTGATTTTTAATTAAAGAAATTATGACAGTGACATATGTCTTCTAGATGTCACATCTAGTGGTCTTTTAATTTAAATTAAATTTAATGAGTATTTGCTATATGCAGTAATTGATATTTCAGAGTTGTTGAGCTTCACTGAATTATGGCATACAAAGGCTGATTTTTATTATATATAATACATTACATATAGTTATTTATATTATATGTTGAGGGTCATATAATATAAATTAGCTTTATAAAGGGCAAGTGTGTATTTTGTTTTTTCTCCAATCTTATCTGTGTGTGTGTGTGTGTGTGTGTGTGTGTTAGGACGGGCATGCTGCACTCAAACCCTGGGGACTACGCCTGGGGACAGGGGGGTCTGGATGCAGTCATCACACAGGTAGCCGAGCACGGGTTGTTTGTGCACGTTACCTGATCCATGGCTTTGTGCATATAAGCTAATCATCTGTGTGTTGTCTCTCACACAGTTATTGGGTCAGTTTGAGAACACAGGTCCTCCTCCTGCTGAGAAAGAGAAAATTTCCTCCCTCCCCACTGTTATCATCACTCAGGAACACACTAGTTAGTTTCTCCTCTCTCTTCCCTTTTCTTTGAAGCTCTTGTTTTTTTTTTTTTTCTTCTGGTCTGTAAGAGGCACAGTGTGTCATTTTAGTTATGATTTAAGGCTCTCAGACTCAGTGAAGGTCATTGACCTACCAGTATGAGTCTTGTGTGGTGATTAATTATAATTCCTATTTAAGGCACTGAAATCTCATTATTCTCACCCCCTGCACGTTGTCTCTCTCTCCTCACTTCTCCTAGACTGCAATATGGAGTGCCCTGTATGTAAGGAAGACTACAAGGTCGGTGAGCCGGTCAGGCAGCTGCCCTGTAATCACATCTTCCATAGTGACTGCATCGTGCCCTGGCTTGAACTGGTGAGAGAAACAATAGGAAGGAAGGAACTGGACTAAAGGGAGAGAAGGGGGAAAAGACATAGGAAAAGGTCATGAATGCAGATATGAGAATCTTTTGAAGTAATAAAAATGATGAACGGTAATGGAAATATTCCTAGATATCTAGTAAGCACTAGAAAGCATGTTATTTTATTTGTGTACAAACATCTGATAATTATAATTAAAAGATTGGAGTCACAGTTCAAAATTATAAATGTAAAACATCTGAAACATTTTTATTGCAGATAGTGCAAAGAGTCTTTTTTCAAACACACATTTTATTGACTCGGCAACATCCATGTGATTTGCATTGTAGTAAAGACATCAAAACTATAAAATATCACAGGTGGAAGTAACAAAATGTGAACAAGAAAATGTAACAAAAAAAAAAAAAGTAGTTTGGCTAGACCAGGTTTTTTAAAAAACTTTTGAATGCCATGAATTCCAAAAATAGGACGATCCACTTGATCATCTTCCTCGTAGGCAGCTATGTATTTTCCACATTTATACAATGTTGACTACTGTGCAAATGTTTGGGGTTGGTTAGTTTATTTTTTTGTTTTTTTTTTAAGAACTCTGAAGAGTGCTGTATTTATTTGATCAAAAATACACTTAAACAGTCATATTATGAAATATTACAATTTAAAATATCTGGGGGGGTTTTCTTGTGATTACAAAGCTGAATATTCTGCATGCATTACTTCAGTCTTCAGTGTCACAAGAAGTCACAGAACCCATTCTAATATACTGAGTTGCTGCTCAAGAAACATTTATCAATGTTGAAAACAGTTGTGCTGCTTAATATTTTTGTTGAAACTGATAGTTTTTTCAGGATTCTTTAATGAACAGAAAGCAAAAAAAACACTATTTATTTGAAATAGTAAAGACATTTAAAATGTTTAATTTGTTCCTATTGAATAAAAGTATTAATTTCGTTTTTTTTTGTTGTTGTTGTTGTTGTTGTTTTGTTAAAGTACTTCAAAACCTCAAACTTTTGAACGGTAGTGTAAGTGTAATATTTAAAAAAAGACAGGGTTGTTTGTTAAATTCAATAACTAGCTTATATATTATTGTTCTGAAGCCAAGGCAAATTAAGTAAATATTATCTGGAAAATATTGACTTTTGTATTAAGTTGACTGACGGTGCAGGTGTGTTCCAGATGCAAAGGATGTTATAAGCAGTAGACATGAGAAATTGTGCTGCCTTACAAAAAGCAGTTCTATCCAAAATTCATTTGTAGTTTTAGCCAAAAAAGTCATCATATGTTTGAATCTATTGTTATAGTTCACTGTTCACTATAGTTCCCTGATACCAACACTGCAAACAGCATCGGGGTGAATAGTAATTATATTTTGTTCAGAACTGGACAATTTGTATTTTTGTGCTTATTAGATCCAGTCATGCTCAGATTTATCACATTACATGAGGTTCAATCTCAGTTTTAACTATATTTTCAAGGTCATGAATTGTCACCGACATACCTTTCTTTTTTCTTCCTCTCTGAAGCACGACACGTGTCCTGTGTGCAGGAAGAGCCTGAATGGGGATGAAAGCGGCACTCAGTCCTCATCAGAGCCTTCCTCCTTAAACACTGATCCTCGCACACCGGAGAGATGGTCCTTCTGAAACACACGCACACACGTCCGTCCATCTTATCCGGGCTCTCTGTCTTAACCCAAGCTATTTGTCTCTCTTTGCTTTTTTTGTCTATCCTTTATGTTCATCCCACCATGCTGGTATATTTTACTATGGTTTGTTTACTTCCGTTCTCTAACACAGAAACATTAGTATAGACAAAACTGAGAAGGACTGTGTCTTTCAGACGTCTTTGATCCCCTCCACAGTTTTCCACACAGAATTTTGACTAGTATTCCCTTCCCTTATTCCTACTCTGAGTGAACATACAAACAGTGCAGGATGAGGATAGGCTCGGGCACATATTGTTGCTATAGCAGCACAACTCCCAACCCACATTTAGATGGTCCCAGAGACGAGCTGTACTCCCCAGATAGCGCCTTTTATCGTTCAATGTGAATTCTCATTGGGATGGGGTGCCGTGTCTTTGCGGTTTATGAACGTTGCTTTTCTTCCCTAGGTTTTTTTGTTGTTCTCGCATCCCTTTTGTTCAGGAGATCATGAGGTTTTGTCTCTCTCTCCTTTTTGATTCCAACTCTGGTGTGTATATATCACAAACCTATCTATGTCATTCAGTTTAATTTGATTTAGTCCTTTTCACTCTCATTTCTATTACAGTTTCCTCTAATGTAAATAATTTTAGTTGGAAAACTCATTTAAGGAAGACAAAAAAAAAAACATTGATGATGAAAATGATGATGAATTGCTAAATATTAAAGTATATATATTATATGATGTGTATGACCATGATGTATTAATAATAAAACTGACTAAACACCAGGAAACATGTTGATCTTATGGCACAGATGAACAACAAATGCATTCAGACCTTCCTATTGATTTTTGTTGACATAAATATGCATTCTCAGACGAGATGAAAAGTTGCATTTATTGTGTCTTGTTAATTCTTAGTGTCTTCAGTGCAAGGAATTTTATACATCAAGTTTTTTCCAGGAATGTTGGCATTACTTGTTAAAACATGACTCAATCACATTATTTTTTTAATTGCCTTTAAAATTGATAATTGACCCCATAAATCATCTTTTGACTGCCAAATCCTAGCATGCTCAAAAACAGCTTGCCTTAAGATTTATCAAGCGAGATGGATAGATTATAAACCACCATTGACTCCAGTGAAATTTCTTTGTAATCGTGGTTGTTGCAGTTATTTGAAATGTTACTGGCTTAAAGCTTGACTGAAATTATTTGAGTTACTCATTAAGGTGCATATGTGGCTTACTGACGCAGTGTTTGGTTCAGCCATTCAGCGTCTGCTCCACAGTAGGGTGAGGATGGAGTGAGCTGGAGCTCTTTCTGACAAAAAGCCCAGCGTTTGATCCCAAACCTCAAACTGCATCTCTTCTTCAGACCTGCAATTTCACAACATTATATACACCTGGACTGATGTAACAACACCAGTTGAGAGTAAATTATCACATTCTTTTACCTGTTGAGAACGATTAACACGGCTGAAGCATCAGGTCTGATATAGACAGAAATTTCCATGCTGGTGTGCTGACTGTAGGACACGCCCACTCTCTGTGACCCCTCCCACAGGAACTTGCTGTCGGGTACAAAAAGTTACTCAGATGGAAGCTAAGACACAGTTCTGAATATTGTATAGAAGAATGCTGTGTTTGGATTATATAACAGATTTATAAAATAAATCATGTGCATACTTGCTTGCCTCTGTTAGCGCTTAAATAACAGTAATAGCTGTTTTGCAGCAAACATGTATGCTAGTGAAAGCTATATTTAATAGCAAAACTTAAGCTTTGCATCAGGTCTGATATAGACAGAAATTTCCATGCTGGTGTGCTGACTGTATGACATGCCCACTCTCTGTGACCCCTCCCACAGGAACTTGCTGTCGGGTACAAAAAGTTACTCAGATGGAAGCTAAGACACAGTTCTGAATACTGTATAGAAGAATGCTGTGTTTGGATTATATAACAGATTTATAAAATAAATCATGTGCATGCTTGCCTCTGTTAGCGCTTAAATAACAGTAATAGCTGTTTTGCAGCAAACATGTATGCTAGTGAAAGCTATATTTAATAGCAAAACTTAAGCTTTAGAAACCATTTTTGTGCAAGAGCTGAATCGTGTCACTGTTAACGGTGCCTTGAATGAGTCTTACCTGAAGTGGGCCATGCTGTAGAAGGTGGGCTGCTTGTAGAAGACGTCTTTACTTGGGTCCACAATAATAGGGCTGTCCACAAAGTTCTTAACCCAATTTGGCCCTCCATCCTGATTAAGGGCCAAGTTCCAGTCTGTCCAGCCTGTCACATAGTTATTCAGGTCCTAAATAAAGAGTTGTAGAAAGAGAAGGTACATTATAATATTTTTTACATAATTACATAAAACGTTTTCTATATATTATATTGCAACCACTTTGTATATTAGTGGCAGTGCAAAAATATATTTCTAAAAATATACTTTATAATCCTTTTTAGGGGAACAAAAGAGATGAGGGAGGAAAAGGCTTACAGTTACATCTAAAAAAAATAGAATATCATGAAAAAGGTCAATATTTTTTGTCACTCATTTCAGAAAGTGAAACCCATATATTATATAGATTCATTACACACAGAGTGAAATATTTCAAGCCTTTATTTCTTGAAATTTTGATGATTATGGCTTACAGATAATGAAAACCCAAAATTCAGTGTCTCAGAAAATTAGAATATTGTGGAAAAAGTTCAATATTGGAAAGTCATGGTGTCACACCCTAATCAGCTAATTACCTCAAAACATCTGCAAAGGTTTCCTGAGCCTTTAAATGGTCTCTCAGTCTGGGTCAGTAGGCTACACAATCATGGGGAAGACTGCTGACTTGACAGAAGTCAATGACGCCCTCCACAAGGAGGGTAAGCCACAAAATGTCATTGCTAAAGAAGCTGGTTGTTCATTTCATGATATTCTAATTTTTTTAGATGTACCTGTATATATAATTAAATATTTAATAGATATAATATGAATTAATAATTTTAAATATTTATAAATAACATTAAATATTAATAAACTCTACATTTAATTCGTTTTTAATCCACATTAAATAATAACAATAATACATATTTTTTATTTCCTTCTGAATCTAAAACCTTAAAATCATAATAACATAATAAACATGTAAGACTTTAAAACAGTTACAAATCATAATCTCCCGGTTGTTATCTTAAAGTAAACCCCTTCAGGGCGATACAAGATCACCTTTTCGGGGTTTATTCTGCGATATCAACTGGCTAGATATACATTATCCCTTAAATATTTTATTTTATGTACATATATTGTTATTATATACAGTAAATAATCATTTTTATTTACATTCCAAATACACCCTGTACCTGTATGATGTCATGTGCATAGTCTTCTGCTCTGTCCCAGCTGCCCAGACGCACCCCACGATCCAGCGGATTCCACCCAGAACACGCCTCTGTTGCAAACAGGAAGTACTCTGGGTAGAGGTGGTGTGTGGCTGTCAGGGTGAAGTCAGGTGGCGCAAGGTTGTTCAGATACCAGTGAAAACCAATCCCGTGTACATAACGTGCTGCTTGTACGTCACTCAGAACCTACAGCAGGGATGAGAGGTGGAGAGACGGAGATGAATGGACTTTTGCCACCACCTACATCTTCATGAACATCCTCCCATCCCTCTTTTGGTCCACTATCCTCACTTACCACTTTGGCCCAGTGTGGAAGCAGAAGTCGGTTGTCATCAAGGATCATAAGGCGAGTTTGGGGAAAGGATGAGGAATGGAGTCCTGGACCCAGATCCAGGGCAATCCAGTTGCGCTGTGTCTCCGGAGTAAAACCCAAAGCCTGAAAACTGTAATTTGTCATTTCGCCTGCAGTGGGCTCGTTTCCTGATGTCAACCCCCAGAATGAAAGATTATATTTTCCATACTCCTCTAGAAATCTGAATAGGACAGGTAAAAGTCATTGTTAAAAAGGCTGGAAATGTAGTTGATACCATTATAAAAAACAATATTATAGTCTGTTTAGTTAAGAAAATTGTATTTAAATACAGTTTTAGGTTCCTTCATGCACCTAATGTAGTACTGAGCCCAGGTCTTATGCTCTTTGCCTCCTGGCTTGCCTTTGAGGGAGCCTTTGCCAATCAGTGCACCATTGGTCTTCAGCCAGGCGGGGCCGCTCCAGGCACTGGCAAATAGATTGAGAGGCTGAGCAGAGAGAGCCTGTGCCCGCTGCAGCAGGGGAATCTGGGAGAGAAAGATGACATGCATCAGAATATGATATCTGTGGTGGTGTGATTAGGCATGTGCTAAAATGCATTGTCTACGAATATATCGTAATTGCTGTTTTACCAATTTGTGAGCAGATGTCACTCACTTTGCAAAAACCAAACAAAATCAGATCTCGAGAGTCAATGCATTGACTTTGGCGTAGCCTATTAGAACGCACTTAGAATGCCAATGAAAATAGTTCCAAACAAAGCTGGAGCAAAACTGTTGAATGTCACATCGGTTCATTACCGAATGAATCTGTGTTTATGAAAGAATCAATTGAGTGAATGATTCAATCACCATCCATAAAGACAGTCACTACATGCTAGGTTTCTGAATTCATCAGCAGTTTTGAACATTTAAATGGAGGATTCAATGAATCAACTCATTAAGACAGGGACTTGCTGCCACCTACTGACAGTTTTAGTTTCATATTTAAAAATAAAAATATATATTTTTTAAATTTCATATTTTAATATTTACAAGTTTTCTCTCTATATATATTTTTTTATTATTATTATTATATATTGTTTTATTATTCTGATTGAATTTATTGATTGAATGTAAGAATTTGAAAAATAATATACTTGGGGACTTGCCACCACCTACCGGCAGTTTAAGTTTTTAATTAATTTTTTTAATTATTTCATATTTTAAAACACTACGGAGTCTTATTGTTCTGATAGAATTTGATTAATCAGAAGAATTTGACATAGATGACATACATTTATTAATTTTAGAAATAAATTGCCCTTATAAGAAATAATTGCCCAGCCTTCCCAAGAAGACCATCAGACAGCTGCAGCTCACCCAGAATGCTGCTGCCAGAATTCTGACTAGAACCAGAAAATCTGAGCATATTACACCAGTCCTCAGGTCCTTACACTGGCTTCCAGTTATATTTAGGATTGATTTTAAAGTACTTTTACTCGTTTATAAATCACTCAATGGCCTAGGACCTAAATACATAGTAGATATGTTCACTGAATATAACCCTAACAGACCACTCAGATCATTAGGATCGAGTCAGTTAGAAATACCAAGGGTTCACACAAAACAAGGGGAGTCTGCTTTTAGTTATTATGCCGCCCGCAGTTGGAATCAGCTTCCAGAAGAGATCAGATGTGCTAAAACATTAGTCACATTTAAATCTAGACTCAAAACTCATCTGTTTAGCTGTGCATTTATTGAATGAGCACTGTGCGATGTCCGAACTGATTGCACTATATTTTATGTATAATCGTTTTCTTAAATTCATTTTAAACCTCTTAAATCAATTTTTTAAATCATTTTCAAAGTTTTTAAATTCCTTGTTTTATTGTTGTGATTATTTTTTTTCTTTTCTTTTATGTAAAGCACTTTGAATTACCATTGTGTATGAAATGTGCTATATAAATAAACTTGCCTTGCCTTGCCTTATAAAGGTATAATATATAAATGCCCCTGAAAATCAAATATTGCCCCTTAATGGAAAAGTTGATTTCTGTCAATTAATTGCTGTGAACTAACCACTGCGCAGAATATAAAGAATATGCAAAGCTTTAGCAGTCAACGGTCCACGACAGGCCTAAACCAGCAAAAGTCCCAGCACAAAAACACACTCAGCAAAATATTGCCTAACTATTGTTATCAGCAAAATCCTCCAAAATTTCAAGACAATTTTTGGTTAATATCACACACCTGTAACTGTGATGGTGTGTTTTGTTTGTGTATGATACCTTCATGTGAATATCCTCTTCAGTCAGCGTGAAGTTCTGGAGACTGTAGTCGTCTGGAGTGTCAGCATATGTGTAGAGGCGAGTTGAGAAATCACAACTGGCCATCGGCACTCTCACGAAACGGTACTCTATACCTGTGACAGAGAGGGATGTGCACCATTCAGAACTCAGAATTCTGAACCTATTTTCTTTACCCTTTCTAAATCTCTGTCCCTCTCACCATCTGGGGAGAAGTACTGTCTGAGCAGCTGGTCCTGAGCTCCAGAGGACAGGGACAGAATATTCATGGCTGCTGCATCTGTCATGGCTCCCCCGAATCCTTTAATGCGCTGATACTTCTGACTGGGATTCAGAGTGATTCTGAGAGCTGAGATTGAGGCGACAAAAAAGAGAGGTTCAGGGGTTTGACTGGATATTAATTATATATATTTATATTTATTAATTTAATACTTCTTTCTCTACTTATCTTTTCTTCCTTCTTTTATCAAAAGCCACGAAGGACAAAATGTAAAATTACATTTGCTGTACATTAACTGTCACAAGCTTGGAATAATTAAGCTTTTTTAATGTTTTTCTTTTTTTAAAGAAGTCTCATGCTCACTAAGGCTGCATCAAAAAAAAAAAAAAGTCATAATATGAAATAAACTTATAATTTAAATGAACTATTTTCTATTTTAATATATTTTAAAATGTAATTTATTCCTGTGATGCAAAGCTGAATTTTCAGCATCATTACTCCAGTCTTCAGTGTCACAAGATTCTTCAGAATCATTTTAATATGCTGATTTGGTGCTCAATTATTATCAGTTGTTACTTTTGATTAATTATTAGTAATGGTTCCTATTATCTATGTTGAAAACGGTTTTTGCTGGTTAATTTTTTGTGGAAACTGAGATCATTTTTTTCACTGTCCTTTAATATATTGAAAGCTTTAGTGTTTACGTTTGATGAGCTCTATGTTTGTGAGTTTATCAGTGTTTACATGTGAGGTCTAAATTAAATCTTTTTATCATATAAAGCTATCTGTCTCTTTAGAAGACCGCTCGATTCATATGGATTACTTTTTAGTCTTTTTGTACTTTTTTTTTTTTTTTTTTAAGCGTGAAAGTTTGGTTGTGCTGACTTTCAACAGATGGAAAAAAATATCTGGTAACACTTTACAATAAGGTGTCATTTGTTAACATTAGTTAAAGTATTAACTAACATGAATGAACAATGAACAATACATGTATTACAGTATTTATTAACCTTTGTTAATGTTAGTTAATAAAAATACAATCATTCATTGTTCATGTTAGTTTACAGTGCATTAACTAATGTTAACACAACTTGAAATTTTAATAATGCTTTAGTGAATGCTGAAATTAACATTAACTAAATGCAGCAGAAGTATTGTTAATTCTTAGTTCATGTAAACTAATGTAGTTAACTAATGAACCTTATTGTAAAGTGTTACCAAATATCTTAATTTGTGTTGCAAAAGATGAACACAAGTCTTATGGTTTTGTATTGACACAAATCATGAGGGTGAGTAAATTATGAAAGATTTTCATTTTGTGGTGATGAACTAACCTTTAAGCCACATATTGATATTAGTTGCACATCGTTTTTAAAACCCTCACCTGCACCTGTGCTGTTCTTCTGAAACTGGCCTCGACTCTTTACGAGTCTGCTGCCAGCTTTACTGCTGACATAAGACAAAAACTGACCGGGATATGGCAACCCAGTGCGGCCCACCGAGTCGCAGTATGTCGCATTGCACAAGCACACAACCGAACCATGACCGAAATTCAGTGCTCGACAGTCGTCAGCTGGACATATGAAACAAAGTGACACAAATAAGCAGGACAGATACAAATAAAACAGCAGATCGACATATCTCGTATATTATTTATCTGATTACATTTACTTAATAAACACACCTCTTGCTATAGCGATTACTCCAGTCAGCAGAATGAAAAGAACCGTTTCTCTCATTCTGTCGACGAGATGCAGTGGAGATTCTTGTTGCATGTAAAAACAACAACGCGCAATCTTAAAACTTAGCAGACAAACGCTTCTTTGTATTTAACGTTTATCCGACGCTTAAAAATGGAAATATTAATATCATTACTGTCCTCTAAATGTTGTTAAAAATAACCATCTTCATCTTTCAACAATTGTACATACAGTTTCTAGACTGTAAACAGTCAATCACGCACCATGGACCGAGTTCCGGGAGACTGCGATCACATGACCACCTCTTTCACCACGTGACACCCAAAAACAATATTTTTTTAAGTGAAGTACAGTTTTATCAAGTAAGTTCAAGTCAAATCATACCTTTACAAAAAGGCGGTAGACATTTTTCAAGTTATTCTAAATGGTTTTATTATGAAAAAAGTTGCATACTTATACATTTGTTGAATTCACATGATATACAGTTGCAAGAATAAGCAAATGTGCATTACAAGGCGGCACACAATCGTTCCAGGATGGATGGGTTTTTGTTGCAGAGAAAGATAAGCTCTTTCTTTCCTTCTTCAGATCGACCTGTTGGTAAAAGATAAGAAATAATAAAAATAGGTATCTAGTAACATATGCATGAAAGGTTATTCTTCCTTGAAGAATGAACTCTCATAAACTTAGCTTGTTCAATTAGAATTCAGAGCTGGAACTATCTGATTTATAAAGGCCTTTTGTGAGGTGGGCAGGGGGAAGGTGGGGGGGGGAGCTATAAAGCTTGTCAGAAAAATATTACTCATTTAGACCATGAGTTTTCAATCTTTTAGATGCCACAGACCTCTAAATATTATCATCCTCATGTGAGGGACTGCCAATCCTAAAATTTTAAAATAATTTTTTTTTACCACAATTTTTTTTCGTTTAATTTTCCTGTTTAAAGTGGTCCTATTATGCTCTTTTACAAAGTCTTGATTTTGTATCTTAATTTGTGTTGCAAAAGATGAACACAAGTCTTATGGTTTTGTATTGACACAAATCATGAGGGTGAGTAAATTATGAAAGATTTTCATTTTGTGGTGATGAACTAACCTTTAAGCCACATATTGATATTAGTTGCACATCGTTTTTAAAACCCTCACCTGCACCTGTGCTGTTCTTCTGAAACTGGCCTCGACTCTTTACGAGTCTGCTGCCAGCTTTACTGCTGACATAAGACAAAAACTGACCGGGATATGGCAACCCAGTGCGGCCCACCGAGTCGCAGTATGTCGCATTGCACAAGCACACAACCGAACCATGACCGAAATTCAGTGCTCGACAGTCGTCAGCTGGACATATGAAACAAAGTGACACAAATAAGCAGGACAGATACAAATAAAACAGCAGATCGACATATCTCGTATATTATTTATCTGATTACATTTACTTAATAAACACACCTCTTGCTATAGCGATTACTCCAGTCAGCAGAATGAAAAGAACCGTTTCTCTCATTCTGTCGACGAGATGCAGTGGAGATTCTTGTTGCATGTAAAAACAACAACGCGCAATCTTAAAACTTAGCAGACAAACGCTTCTTTGTATTTAACGTTTATCCGACGCTTAAAAATGGAAATATTAATATCATTACTGTCCTCTAAATGTTGTTAAAAATAACCATCTTCATCTTTCAACAATTGTACATAGTTTCTAGACTGTAAACAGTCAATCACGCACCATGGACCGAGTTCCGGGAGACTGCGATCACATGACCACCTCTTTCACCACGTGACACCCAAAAACAATATTTTTTTAAGTGAAGTACAGTTTTATCAAGTAAGTTCAAGTCAAATCATACCTTTACAAAAAGGCGGTAGACATTTTTCAAGTTATTCTAAATGGTTTTATTATGAAAAAAGTTGCATACTTATACATTTGTTGAATTCACATGATATACAGTTGCAAGAATAAGCAAATGTGCATTACAAGGCGGCACACAATCGTTCCAGGATGGATGGGTTTTTGTTGCAGAGAAAGATAAGCTCTTTCTTTCCTTCTTCAGATCGACCTGTTGGTAAAAGATAAGAAATAATAAAAATAGGTATCTAGTAACATATGCATGAAAGGTTATTCTTCCTTGAAGAATGAACTCTCATAAACTTAGCTTGTTCAATTAGAATTCAGAGCTGGAACTATCTGATTTATAAAGGCCTTTTGTGAGGTGGGCAGGGGGAAGGTGGGGGGGGGAGCTATAAAGCTTGTCAGAAAAATATTACTCATTTAGACCATGAGTTTTCAATCTTTTAGATGCCACAGACCTCTAAATATTATCATCCTCATGTGAGGGACTGCCAATCCTAAAATTTTAAAATAATTTTTTTTTACCACAATTTTTTTTCGTTTAATTTTCCTGTTTAAAGTGGTCCTATTATGCTCTTTTACAAAGTCTTGATTTTGTTTTGGGGGTGTACTAGAACAGGCTCTCATACTAGGTTGTTCGAAAAACCATTTTTCAAATATTTTACATTATTACAACAATCAGTATATGGGGATGATTAGGAGGCCATGATGATGGACAGAGGCTAATGGGCGAATTTGGCTAGGATACCGGGGTTACACCCCTACTCTTTTTCACAGGACATCCTGGGATTTTTAATGACCACAGAGAGTCAGGACCTCTGTTTAATGTCTCATCCGAAGGACGGTGCTTTTTGACAGTATAGTGTCCCCGTCACTATACTGAGGCATCAGAACCCACACAGACCACAGGGTGAGAACCCCCTGCTGGCCTCACTAGCACCTCTTCCAACAGCAACCTAGCTTTACTAGTAGGTCTCCCATCCAGGTACTAACCAGGCTCAACCCTGCTTAGCTTCAGTGGGCAACCAGTCTTGGGCTACAGGGTGATATGGCGTACCGACAATTATAAATTGGAACTTCCTACATTTTATATGGCCTCATTATTCTCTTTACACACAGCACTGCCAATTACCACTGCTCAGACTCCAGGCAAACAAATACACAAACTTACTGTGTGGATGCTGCAGCCAGCTGCGGTCTAAATAGTATAGATAACAGCTCTCAAACTCCTTCTCATTGTAGTTGGACACAGAAACTGGCACAAAAGGTTCCATACTATCAAACCCCTCCTGAAAGACAGAAGGCATAAACAAATTGGGAGGAGGAAAGAGAAAAAGTGCAAATATATTGAGCCCTTTTAACAAATCTATACAACATGCACAACAGATCATAATAGGTGCCTCTAAACTTTATTTTGCTAATTCTTCAAAGTCTATTGTTGATGTAAAAAGGAAAACTAAACTCTCTTAACTTAAGGCATTTACTCAGTAGTTTAATGAACAAAGGCATAATGTGGTTGTTTTGTGTGTGAGGGCTGCTGACCTCTCCTAGTAGCTCATTGGGAAGGTAAGCAGACCGTGGTTTGAACACAGAGCCGGTCTGAGACAAAGCTGTGAGAATGGCACCTCCACTCTATGACAGAGAGCAATGTAAAGTAAATTGAGTGTGAACAACTCACTGAGCATTAAATCTATTAAAGTTATAGTTTACCCAAAAATACAAATTTGCTGAAAATTACATGTAGATTAGTTTGTTTCTTCATTGCAGATTTGGAGACATTTTGCATTACATCACTTCCTCACCAATGGATCCTCTGCAGTGAATGGGTGCCGTCAGAATGAGATTCCAAACAGCTGAGAAAAACACTGCAATAATCCACACGACTCCAGTCCATCAATAAATGTCTTGTGCAATGAAAAGCTGCATGTTTGTAAGAACCAAATCCATCATAAACTGTCGCTTATGGCCAAAATAGCAGTCCATAATCCATAATAACGCTTCGTCTAGTGTTAGCCTTTCCCCGTTATCCTCTCAATTTTGTTTTAACTGTTTTTGTTTAATGGTACTTTGCTTTTGCAAACTCATTTTGTTTTTACTTAAATGGTAAACTGTACTTGATATGAGCATATTTCTCTCCTGATTTAGAATAGAGATGACTTTTTCACAGGAGAAAGCAATATTATAGATAGAGGCCTCATATTTTAGCTGGAAGCAACAGTTAAAAGGTAAAAATGTCTTGATGATATATTTGTTTATTACACACGCAGCTTTTCACTTCACAAGATGTAAACTGATGGACTGGAGTTGTGTCGATTATTTGTGGATTGTTTTATCAGATAAACTCTTATTCTGGCAGCACCCATTCACTGCAGAGTATCCGTTGGTGAGCAAGTGATGTAATGCTAAATTTCTCCAAATCCGTTTTAATATGAAAAAGAAAAAAAACTCTACATCTCGGGCGGCCTGAGGGTGAGTGCATTTTTTAGCAAATTCTCATTTTTGGGTGAACTATTCCTTCAAGTAAGAGTGTGTTTTGTTTTTTTTACCCAATTGTTTTTCATCATCTTCCTCAGATTATGAATCAAAGTCAGTTCCTCTGGCTCACACTCCATAAAAAGGAAAAGAAAGCAGGATGTCAAACAAATGCACAAATTATTTAATAAAATGAGTATAATTATGTAAATATTTTTGAATTCATTTTCACTTATTCTGGCTAATTTACACCAACAAACCATAGTTCTGTCCTCCTTTTTAAGAGATGTTTTGCCCCACAGAGCATTTACTCCATCCACAGCCACGGTCAGTTTAAAGGCCCCCTCGCCCTCTGTGGTGCCCCCTGCTTGCAGCCTCAGCTCTCGCAGCACTGCGCCCACCACATCACTGCTGCTCTTCATGCGATTCACACCCTGTTCAAATGAAATCAAATGATTAAAAATAGTTAACTAAAAACTATACTATACATTTTTTTTAAACTATACATGTATATATATATATATATACACACACTGAACAAAATTATAAACGCAACACTTTTGTTTTTGCCCCCATTTTTCATGAGCTGAACTCAAAGATCTAAGACTTTTTCTATGTATACAAAAGGCCTATTTCTCTCAAATATTGTTCACAAATCTGTCTAAATCTGTGTTAGTGAGCACTTCTCCTTTGCCGAGATAATCCATCCACCTCACAGGTGTGGCATATCAAGATGCTGATTAGACAGCATGATTATTGCACAGGTGTGCCTTAGGCTGGCCACAATAAAAGGCCACTCTAAAAATAAAACAGCAGATCGACATATCTCGTATATTATTTATCTGATTACATTTACTTAATAAACACACCTCTTGCTATAGCGATTACTCCAGTCAGCAGAATGAAAAGAACCGTTTCTCTCATTCTGTCGACGAGATGCAGTGGAGATTCTTGTTGCATGTAAAAACAACAACGCGCAATCTTAAAACTTAGCAGACAAACGCTTCTTTGTATTTAACGTTTATCCGACGCTTAAAAATGGAAATATTAATATCATTACTGTCCTCTAAATGTTGTTAAAAATAACCATCTTCATCTTTCAACAATTGTACATAGTTTCTAGACTGTAAACAGTCAATCACGCACCATGGACCGAGTTCCGGGAGACTGCGATCACATGACCACCTCTTTCACCACGTGACACCCAAAAACAATATTTTTTTAAGTGAAGTACAGTTTTATCAAGTAAGTTCAAGTCAAATCATACCTTTACAAAAAGGCGGTAGACATTTTTCAAGTTATTCTAAATGGTTTTATTATGAAAAAAGTTGCATACTTATACATTTGTTGAATTCACATGATATACAGTTGCAAGAATAAGCAAATGTGCATTACAAGGCGGCACACAATCGTTCCAGGATGGATGGGTTTTTGTTGCAGAGAAAGATAAGCTCTTTCTTTCCTTCTTCAGATCGACCTGTTGGTAAAAGATAAGAAATAATAAAAATAGGTATCTAGTAACATATGCATGAAAGGTTATTCTTCCTTGAAGAATGAACTCTCATAAACTTAGCTTGTTCAATTAGAATTCAGAGCTGGAACTATCTGATTTATAAAGGCCTTTTGTGAGGTGGGCAGGGGGAAGGTGGGGGGGGGAGCTATAAAGCTTGTCAGAAAAATATTACTCATTTAGACCATGAGTTTTCAATCTTTTAGATGCCACAGACCTCTAAATATTATCATCCTCATGTGAGGGACTGCCAATCCTAAAATTTTAAAATAATTTTTTTTTACCACAATTTTTTTTCGTTTAATTTTCCTGTTTAAAGTGGTCCTATTATGCTCTTTTACAAAGTCTTGATTTTGTTTTGGGGGTGTACTAGAACAGGCTCTCATACTAGGTTGTTCGAAAAACCATTTTTCAAATATTTTACATTATTACAACAATCAGTATATGGGGATGATTAGGAGGCCATGATGATGGACAGAGGCTAATGGGCGAATTTGGCTAGGATACCGGGGTTACACCCCTACTCTTTTTCACAGGACATCCTGGGATTTTTAATGACCACAGAGAGTCAGGACCTCTGTTTAATGTCTCATCCGAAGGACGGTGCTTTTTGACAGTATAGTGTCCCCGTCACTATACTGAGGCATCAGAACCCACACAGACCACAGGGTGAGAACCCCCTGCTGGCCTCACTAGCACCTCTTCCAACAGCAACCTAGCTTTACTAGTAGGTCTCCCATCCAGGTACTAACCAGGCTCAACCCTGCTTAGCTTCAGTGGGCAACCAGTCTTGGGCTACAGGGTGATATGGCGTACCGACAATTATAAATTGGAACTTCCTACATTTTATATGGCCTCATTATTCTCTTTACACACAGCACTGCCAATTACCACTGCTCAGACTCCAGGCAAACAAATACACAAACTTACTGTGTGGATGCTGCAGCCAGCTGCGGTCTAAATAGTATAGATAACAGCTCTCAAACTCCTTCTCATTGTAGTTGGACACAGAAACTGGCACAAAAGGTTCCATACTATCAAACCCCTCCTGAAAGACAGAAGGCATAAACAAATTGGGAGGAGGAAAGAGAAAAAGTGCAAATATATTGAGCCCTTTTAACAAATCTATACAACATGCACAACAGATCATAATAGGTGCCTCTAAACTTTATTTTGCTAATTCTTCAAAGTCTATTGTTGATGTAAAAAGGAAAACTAAACTCTCTTAACTTAAGGCATTTACTCAGTAGTTTAATGAACAAAGGCATAATGTGGTTGTTTTGTGTGTGAGGGCTGCTGACCTCTCCTAGTAGCTCATTGGGAAGGTAAGCAGACCGTGGTTTGAACACAGAGCCGGTCTGAGACAAAGCTGTGAGAATGGCACCTCCACTCTATGACAGAGAGCAATGTAAAGTAAATTGAGTGTGAACAACTCACTGAGCATTAAATCTATTAAAGTTATAGTTTACCCAAAAATACAAATTTGCTGAAAATTACATGTAGATTAGTTTGTTTCTTCATTGCAGATTTGGAGACATTTTGCATTACATCACTTCCTCACCAATGGATCCTCTGCAGTGAATGGGTGCCGTCAGAATGAGATTCCAAACAGCTGAGAAAAACACTGCAATAATCCACACGACTCCAGTCCATCAATAAATGTCTTGTGCAATGAAAAGCTGCATGTTTGTAAGAACCAAATCCATCATAAACTGTCGCTTATGGCCAAAATAGCAGTCCATAATCCATAATAACGCTTCGTCTAGTGTTAGCCTTTCCCCGTTATCCTCTCAATTTTGTTTTAACTGTTTTTGTTTAATGGTACTTTGCTTTTGCAAACTCATTTTGTTTTTACTTAAATGGTAAACTGTACTTGATATGAGCATATTTCTCTCCTGATTTAGAATAGAGATGACTTTTTCACAGGAGAAAGCAATATTATAGATAGAGGCCTCATATTTTAGCTGGAAGCAACAGTTAAAAGGTAAAAATGTCTTGATGATATATTTGTTTATTACACACGCAGCTTTTCACTTCACAAGATGTAAACTGATGGACTGGAGTTGTGTCGATTATTTGTGGATTGTTTTATCAGATAAACTCTTATTCTGGCAGCACCCATTCACTGCAGAGGATCCGTTGGTGAGCAAGTGATGTAATGCTAAATTTCTCCAAATCCGTTTTAATATGAAAAAGAAAAAAAACTCTACATCTCGGGCGGCCTGAGGGTGAGTGCATTTTTTAGCAAATTCTCATTTTTGGGTGAACTATTCCTTCAAGTAAGAGTGTGTTTTGTTTTTTTTACCCAATTGTTTTTCATCATCTTCCTCAGATTATGAATCAAAGTCAGTTCCTCTGGCTCACACTACATAAAAAGGAAAAGAAAGCAGGATGTCAAACAAATGCACAAATTATTTAATAAAATGAGTATAATTATGTAAATATTTTTGAATTCATTTTCACTTATTCTGGCTAATTTACACCAACAAACCATAGTTCTGTCCTCCTTTTTAAGAGATGTTTTGCCCCACAGAGCATTTACTCCATCCACAGCCACGGTCAGTTTAAAGGCCCCCTCGCCCTCTGTGGTGCCCCCTGCTTGCAGCCTCAGCTCTCGCAGCACTGCGCCCACCACATCACTGCTGCTCTTCATGCGATTCACACCCTGTTCAAATGAAATCAAATGATTAAAAATAGTTAACTAAAAACTATACTATACATTTTTTTTAAACTATACATGTATATATATATATATATACACACACTGAACAAAATTATAAACGCAAAACTACAAAAATGACTGAGAAGTTAGTCAAGTTAGAATATAGTCAATTTGAGGTAGTGGTAATGGGGAATTTTTAATATGATGATGATGAATAAAACTCACCTGATCAATAAGCTCCCCTAAAGGCTGCCCCTTTTTAGTACTCTCTCTCTTTGTCCACACATACCGCTGTGTTGTCTTTAACTGTTAATTGGTAAGATTGACATCAGAGCAGCTCAAATAATAAATAAGTGATAAATAAAAAACATTAAATAACATCTCCTCCCATACACAAGGAGGGAGCTAATGGATTATATATTGTGAAATTTTAATTTCTACAATTTTACCATTTTAAAATACTTTTTTTTATATATATTTTGAAGTTAGACAACGTAAGCAAGTCCATATTTTGTTAAAATAAAAAAATAAATATTAATTTATAATATTAATAAATATGAATAAAAACAATGTGATAAGGTGATTAACGCACAAAAAAACTCACTTGCATACTTATAAACCCTACAATACAATAAACACATCAAGTTGTACCTTGGATAAAAAGCGTTCATTTGTGATTTTGAAGTTCTTCAGCCATTGGGATGCCTGGATCGGCTGGTCGAAGCGTGAGGGGCGGGAAGAAGATGGCAGCAGCTCTTTACAGTTCTTGATCCACAGATGAGCTATAAAAAAAACATCATAGCAACATCAGACACCAAACTTCACATCACCGTACATTTTGATTGAATGAGGGTCAGCGGAGCTCACCATCGGGTATGTGCACGATCAGCCAGCCCTGTGTGTAGCAGTAATGCAGGACGTGACACAAAGACATGGTCTTTCCAGTGCCAATATCTCCATCTAAAGCACACTGTCAAGGAATTTGTGAAATATCAGTGTGGAAAAACATGCACAAAGTAAAAGAGCTCACTGGATTGGATTTTTGTATTTGAGGATACGGAGTACATAACGCAGGGGAGGCTTGCTGTAATCAGCTCTTTTAAGATATGAGATAAGCTCCAGCGCCGGCGGCCTCACCATCACACAGCCTTCATTAAACGTTTTAATCTGAAACAAGAGCACAAACATGCATTAGTTGTCCAGGCAACTTCAGCCACAAATCATGACAATGGCACTTCTATTTGGACTATATTAAATCAATGCA